TGTGGTGGTGGTGGTGGTTGTGGCTGTTGTTGTCGTCGTCGTCGTCGTTGTTGTTGTTGTTGCTGCTGCTGCTGTTGTTGTTGTTGTTGCTGCTGCTGTTGTTGTTGTTGTTGTTGTTGTTGTTATTATTTTATTGTTGTTGTTGTGGTTGTTGTTGATGTTGTTGTTGTTGATGTTGTTGTTGTTGTTGTTGTTGTTGTTGTTGTTGTTGTTTCCGTTGCTGTTGTTGTTGCTGTTGTTGTTGCTGTTGCGGTTGCTGTTGCTGTTCCTGTTGCTGTTGCTGTTGTTGTTGTTGTTGTGGTTGTTGTTGTTGTTGCTATTGTGGTTGTTGTTGTTATTGTTGTTGTTGTTGTTGTTGTTGTTGTGGTTGTTGTTGTTGTTGTTGTTGTTGTGGTTGTGGTGGTGGTGGTGGTGGTGGTGGTGGTGGTTGTTGTTATTGTTGAATATTATTCCTTCTAAAGAATTATTATTGTTGGGACCCCTGGTGCGCGACCTCTGCGCCGCGCCTAGGCCGCAGCTACATTTTCATCATTTTTTCGCGAAAGCTTCAGAAAAGTGGATTGTGTCCGGATCCGGTTGTTTTGTTGACGCTCGTTTTCCCTTGCAAAAAACAATAGAAAATGAAAATTCTTGTTCTTACTGATCAAATTGCAAGAATCCCTTGCAAAAAATAAGGTAAAGTGGACATTCGTGCGCGCAAGACGAAATCCTTCCAAAACCTTAGGTTTCGTAGCGATTTTAACATAAAAACATCAAAAACCCAATGGTTTTTTTAAGAAAAAATTGTCAAAATGTCCTTCCGCGCGCGCTGTCCGAATCCCACAAAACCAATGGTTTTTTCAACATTTATGTTACATGAGCTCGCGCGAGCTACTTTTTCTTGTTCTAACATAATCAAATTTCAATACTCCCTTGCAAAAAAAAAAAAAAAAAAAAACATTCAAAAACAAAAAAACCTTCTCCCGCTGTGAAACCGACTCTCTCATCGCAAGAAACGAAATCCTTCCAGAACCTTAGGTTTCGTAACGATTCAACATAAAAACATCAAAAACCCAATGGTGTTTCAAAAAAAAATGTCCAAATTTCATCCCGCGCGCGCTGTCCGACTCCCACAAAACCAATGGTTTTTCAACATTTCTGTTACATGAGCTCGCGCGAGCTACTTTTTCTTGTTCTAACATAATCAAATTTCAATACTCCCTTGCAAAAAAAAGTAAAGTGGACATTCGCGCGCGCAATACCAACAAAAAACACGACGATCTCAGGAACTTGCCCCAAAAATGTGACCAACTCCGCTCTCTCTGTCTCTCTCTCTGTCTGCTCTCTGTCTCTCTCTCTGTCTGTCTGTGTCATGTATTGTATGTCACAATTGCAGGATGCTGGGCACACGCGCGCCCCGAATAGTGACCAAGTTCTGTGGGTGTGTACCCCACGCCAGTGTAGTAGCCACGGTCGTCCGCACGCCACGAAGTGAAGTGTCCCAACGTCATAGGGCGGGAAGCTGGGTTTGGGTGGTCGCGAAGAGTCGTTTGGATATTTGGTATAGCTTGAACTGCCCCCCCACGAAGTGGGGGTATTGTCTCGCGTCGCATGAAAACCCTGGCACTGGTGAGAACACTGAGCGTTCGGGTAAAATGATTGTTGTTGTTGTTGTTGCTGTTGTTGTTGTTGTTGTTGTTGTTGTTGTTGTTGTGGAGGTGGTGGTGGTGGTGGTGGTTGTTGTTGTTGTTTTGTCCCCAAGGTTCGAGGGGGTCTGGGTCTAGGTCGGCGGCGAGCCCAGGGGGAAGTGAGAAGGAGAAGGCCTTCTCAGAAAGCTCGGAAGTCCCTTAGCCTTCTGAGAAGTGGTCTGAGCCTTCCCCGAAGACGCAGAACACTTCTTTCAGAAGGCGCGAGGGCTTCGGAGCAGTCCCGCCGCCCTCTGAGAAGGAGCGCTCGGGGCTCACTTCCCCCCCTCTCGCTCGCCGCCGCTGACCTTCTCTCTCAAATGGACGGCAGCGTCCACGGCAACACCGAAAGCGAGGTCTTCTCGGAATGGGCCAGGACGCCGCTGCCGGTCCTTCGCCCCCTCCCCCCCCCCTTCTCTCCCCCACCCCCTTCGCTCTCTCCCCCCCCCGTTCTCTCCGTGCACAGTAGGGGCTCGGCCACAAGAAACCTTCCACAAGAAACCCAACCCTTAGACCCCAGGACGTCCACTTTTTTTTGGGTGTGGGAACGTCACGCTGTCCATCGCAAAACCATCGAAACCCAGGAAACCCAGGGCACTCTGGAGGCAAGCAGGGTGTTTCTTGGCATGGGTTTCCACTGTACGGCCGCCGACTAGGGCTCCTTGCGAACGCCCGCGAGGCGGGCCTGTCTTTCTCCGCTGGGCTGGCCAACCCGGGCGCCTCGGACACGCCGTGGCTGCCGGGCGGCAAGCTGCCAGCGGTGCGGACCTCGAAGAAGACGGTGGACCTGCCCTACGGCCTTGGGCAGCTCTCGGAGAAGGACGGGGGGACATCCT